GCCGGTCCCCGCGGACCGGGGGGGCGCCGGGCGGCCTTGACCGTGGGCGCCGAGCGTCCCGGCCGCGCGGCGCGGGCTTTATGTAAATCGGGACCGCGCCGTGGCGTCCTAGGTAGGACGGCCCAGCCCCCCGCGCCTCGGCCCTCACGTCCAATAAGAAGAGCCCCAGCTTGACACCTGCCTATATACAGGCGAGCGCGTCGCCGGCCCGCGGACCCGCGCACAGCCCGCACAGCCCACGCCGCGGGCGAGCGACACCTCGGCCCGCCACCATGACTTCCAGTAAGATCGAGATGCCCGGAGGGGTGAAGGCCGACCCCGCCGCCCTCATGGCGTCCCTGCACCTCCTGCCGTCGCCCACGCCCAACCTCGAAATCAAGTACACCAAGGTAAGTGGCCGGCGGGCGGGCGCCGTCCACGGAGACTTTCTAGAACCTTCCTCCTTCTCCACGATCTCTTTACAGGGAGGGGGTGAGGGCGGCGTGAGGGGGCCGGGGGCCGCGGTCGCCGGGACCAGCCTGTCATCCCGCGCAGCAGAGGGACGCCCCGTTTCTTTTCGGGATCGGGGCTTTTGAAGTCCCGCCGCGGTCTGGGAACGCCTCGGCGACTTGTCCCAAGCTGAAGCGCGGCGCTGAGGGGTCGTCGTCAACGGTTCCTGCCCCGGACCGTGTCTGCGGCTGGTGTCTGGTCCCATTCCCCGGGTCCCGGCTGCCGCGGGGAAGGCGTCGAAACCTCTTCGTCTCCTCAAACGGAGACAAGGGGTTCCCCGCCGGGTTAGCCACGCAGTCTGGCCGTCGCTTCTCGGTCCTCCGCCTTGGGGGCGGGTCGCTGCTCGTCCCGGTCTGGTCCTCGGGAGCCCGGACGGTGCGAGGGGCTTTCCCGTAGGAAATTGTCGGGACACCCGCGCTCTGGCCGGTTTGACAAATCTCAGGGAAACCTGGCTGATAAGTACAGTAGCTCCAATGTCAGCATTTCATTTGGATTTTGTAGCCGGTGACAAGTCCCCTAGACAATTTGAAAAGTCGTTAAATTTGTGCAAATTAGCGGGTTCGCTTTTGAACTGAAAAAAAAAATTTTTTTTTTTTATAACGAACTCTGACATTTTGTGCTTGCCAAGCAGGAATTATTTTTGTTGCACCACCTAAAAAAACATGCGTCCTCTACCTAATGTAAATCGAATTTACTGTCTTTCTACAAATTCGAAATAGGAAAAGTTTATCAGTTACATACATGTTGAGGGGGGAGTTGTAATGTTATAACATTTTTTTCGGTGAGGATATAGATGGAATTTAAAGCCACATATCTTGGATTTCATTTTACAGTTCTCTTGTTTGATTTTCTATTCCTTTCAGTAGATTTCTACCCCGGACGTCTCCTCATTAACTTTAAACACATAGGCTCACACACAGTATGGTTAAAGTTGTATTCCATCATGCTTGTTACAAGATAAATTATGTTTTGTAGAAAAATAAATTGTTTGGTTCAGGCTTAATAGTTGAAAGAGAGATACAGAAAACATTAGAATATGGAAAATTTACTTGAATTGAGTTTTAGGATACAAATTAGGGTGATTCGTATTTTGAATGTTAATTTAGATGGATTTGATGTACCTGTTAGTTTTTTTAGATGGTGTGACAAATTTTTCAAAGCCGTTTTAATGAGAGGTCGTTAACGGTTATAGCCTTTTCGGTATTGTTTGTGTAACAATAGTGCCAATGTGTGGCATATCACCGGGTTTAGGAACTAGCAGGAAAAGCATGCAGCATAAAGGTTTTGTTTTATGAGGGTTCCTAACCTCTTCAGGCTCTTTTTAAAGGTCTTAAGATGCCAGATCTACACATGCGAAAAGACCTGACCCTCAGATTTGGGAAGGTTTGATTTTAGTCTTATTTTTGATCGGATTTTCCTAACAGCCTCTGAAAGAAGTTTTAGGTATGCATTAGGTATCTTTTTCAGAACTTAATTTGGAAGCTCTTCCAGTTCTCTTTTTCCCTAACTACCCCCTCTGTCTTTTCTCTCTTGTTCTCCCCCAGTAGGAAAGACAACTGATTTATAGCTAATTGGAGCCTTTAATGTGGAGTCTTAGCTCGGGGAAGACTTTTATCCAGTATCTACTTTCCCACTTATTACAAAGAAAAACAATCAGAAATGAAATAATGGATTGTAACTTGATTCTTTAATTTGTGGGGAGGAGGCACCTTATTTTTGTCTTGACAAACAACTCTCATAAACACTGAGTAACACTAATCTACAGGCGAGCTCATTCCACAAAATCTTGTAAAATAGGTATCTGTGAACATTCCCAGAAGCTTCCCTCCTCAGGTCTTTAGTGAGACTTCTAAATTTTCTAAGACAAGCAGTATTAAAGAAAAAAAAAAAAAAAAAAAAGAAGAAGAAGAGCAGAAGCTGCTCTTTTGGTAGCCCAAAATGGTAATGGGTAATGATTTCTTTTACTTAAAAGGAAAATAAGATTAATGGAGAATTTTTAAAAATTTCACTTATGATCAGAAGTGAGGGAGGTTATATTAGCAATTTCAACCAGAAGAATGAACAAGGTAGAATGGAAACAAGGTAGAGTGGACAGTCCTTTAGAACAGTGATACCACATTCATGAGGAAATTTTAAGGGGATAAGGAGTTAAAAATTATTACGCTTTAGGGCCTGTTGAATAACACCTATGAAACAAACACAGTATTTGCATCAGAAAATTGTAATATAAGACAAACATAAATGTATCATTAATTAATTGTTTTTGTCTTGTTAAACAAGTAGTAGAGGTCTTCAGAACATTCATGGCAAAATTTGTGTTATCTTTGAATTCCATTTTCCTTGAACTTTTGAAGTACTCTTACATTACAATATAATTTTTCCATATGATTTTTTAATGTGATTTTGGGACCAACATAAAGTCATTACTTACAAATAAATGATCAGATTATGAGAATTTCCAGTAGCATCTACTTAGAATACTGTACTTTTCACTTGTGATCTTGTACTTTTCTGTATTTTTTCATCATCTTTCTTCTAAAATTATTTTACATTTTTAATAAAGAGAATGGGGGAGATCATCAGAATTAAAAATTACTGCCTTTACTTGTGAGAAGTCCAGTGGAAATGCTTCAAAATTTAAGTTCAATCCCCAAGGATACCAAAAGGATTAAACTCCTGGTTTTGTATTGACTATTAGGCAAATAAATACATTGCATTTAAAAAATCAGCTTACCACTCTGAAGTTCCAATATCGATTTTAGACTAATGATCAATGGCAATACCGTATTTAGAATATATCTATTTCTCTTTCCCTAATGCAGCAAGCTGGACCCCATGTTTTAAAAATGATTCCTTATTAAGGGATATTTTTTTATTTGTTTGTTTTTAAAAACTGTGTTAGTTGAAAAACAGTGATAACTGACATGAATTGTCAAGGGGACCAATTGAGAGCCAAGAGAATGTGCACTCTCATGCTTGTATCCTAAGAAGACTGCTTAAAAACTAGCATAGGATTCTGATTGCTTTTAGCTATGGGTTTATGAATTAAGGTTTTTCTGACTTGTTTCTGTTTTATCAGTCTGATTTTTAGAATTTTGTATAGCTGAACATGTAGAGCTCAAGGCTCAACACTTTACTTTTCTGCCCCTGACTGCAAGGCAGGTCTCTTCCAGATTCCCAGGTCTTTGGAAACTTGCTCTCTTTAGCCTACTTCTACCTTCTATATTGGCTCTATCTTCTCTTCTGGCTCTATTAGACTCTCCCTTTCTTCCCCCACCCCCATAAGCAATGTGCTATCTCTCTGTTGATCACTTCTTCAGTGAGAGTTTATGCCCATAACTAACTGTAACATAGAAGATTATGTTTTCTTCTAGCATCTAATACTGTAGAGAGCTAGAACAGAGGGAGGAGGGAGACATTTATTGAGTAATGACCTGCTAAACTAGAAGAAGAGAAAAAAAAGGTAATCAACTGGAATATCAGAGCTAATGTGCATTGGGTATCTACTATTTATTCTTTTGTTTATTCATTTAACAACTTTTTATTGAACTTCTGTTTTCTGGGGTCAATTTCAAGAGTTTTTGAGTGGCTGTGGTCCTAACAACAGGCTTTCCATTATGCTAGTTGAACTGTGGAATACCTGCTGTCTAGGAGATTAGGGTCTTATTAGAAAGGTTGAGTGCCAAATATTGGTTGTCAGTCAGCATGGTGGTAGTTAAGTTGATCAATATAATAATAATAGTAATACTTATAATGCTACTTAACATTTTTTTATAGGTCCTACTGGTTTACCTACCATTTTCATATATATCTTATTTGATCCTTGCAAAACCTTTTGAAGGAGAGAGAGTAGAAAGAAATAGGAATAATTGGTAAGGAAGAACTTAGTCTTGACTTTTAAAAAATTGATAGAGCTTTTTCACCATACACTTTTCTTAATGTTCTGTGACTCATACTTTTTTTCTGAGTGAAAGTTTAAATCTTTAAACTTTTTTTGTGTTGCTTCTGTTGCAAACAAGGAGAGAATAAGAACTGGTCTATTCCTCAAAAAAAGGAGCTCCTTTTTTGGCTTTGATTCCCTGACTTTAAATTACTATCTTTGATGTTTCTATGAGTTTTTTTTTTTTTTTAGGTCTGAGGTAAAAATCTTACCTATCCCAGAAATAATTTCTTAAAAGATAGGTGTGGATATACTTCCTTCCAAACCTTTGTTCAAGATTGTTTTGATCATAAATTATCAATTAAGCTGCATGTTTATAGAGGACTTCAGTTTTTTAACAAATACTTTTTCATAACTATACGACTTTTTGATGTTTGTATCATCTCCGTTTAACTGAGGGAAGCCAAACAACTTCATCATAGGACTCAAACTAGATAATTCTCTTGTATCCTGCCCCTATGCCCCAACTACACTGGCTTCCGTTACCATATGGAATTATCATTAGCTGAGGCACTCCTGATTCTTTATTTCTATAAAATGATGAATGATGGTTTTTCTATTTCAAGTAGGAGATTCTCTGAGGTGCCTGTTCTGTGAGGTCTGACTTCCTTGTAGCCAGGTTTACAAAATGCCAGACCTGCATGGTTAGTTCTCTGTTGCAGCAGTGAAGCACAAACCAATAAGCATTTCAAATCCCAGCACACACAGTTCTCAGTTCTGAGTCTTTCTTGCTTTGATAATAAAATACAACTACTGATGTGTATTTTTTGTCTTTTTAGTTATCTTTGTGATAGTTTGCAGGGTCAACAAACTACAGACTGTCTGCCTGGTTTTGTAAATAAAGTTTTATTATAATATAGTCACAGCCATTCAGTTACACATTGTCTGTGGCAGCTTTTGGACTACAATGATGGAGTGAGCAGTTGCAACAGAGACTGTGTGGCCCACATTTTAGAAAAA